CTGGAATTTAACGGAGCCATGTTTTTGTTGTTGTTTGGAGAAAAAGCCCAAGGAAGGGGAGGAATCAGACATTTATCATCAGCACAAGTAGCTTAGGGTTGAAAACTCACTTGTCACCACAGGAATAAGAAAACTGGTGGTTTCCATGAAGTAGAATTTAATTTTAGCTGCCTATCTCCACATTTGAACTGAGGACTAGAATTTAGGAGGGCAGAGGTGGGATTACAGCAGGGCTTCCTTATGAAAAGAGTAAGATTTGCCATAAGCTTCATTAAATGAAATCTAAAACAACTAGACTCCTTTTCTGTACATTCGTGAAAAATGCCAACTGCTTTAACTGATTGCTAAGGAATCCTTGGCTTTTTACAAATTTTTATATAAAAATGCATCTGCAACTCACCACAAACATCCCCACGTGCTGCTGCTCTACACCCATCATGTGGGACACCACACTGGAGGCTTCCCCACACCTGCAGAGCTGGTTTGTGCACAAGCCAGCAGAGTCAATACTGAGGCCAAGAACTACAAGATAAATGATTAAGCATTAGTCATTAGTCCTATTTATTTATCCCTGTAGGTTTGCAAGGTACTTTCTGGACAAGCAGAAAAGTAAAGACTTGATGAAGTCAGGCAGTGAAAGGAGAGGGAATGAAGACAGAATTGGAGGGGAAGTAGTGAACCCACGTGAGGAAACCATCTACGCAAAACAGCCCTGCCCGTCCAGCTTGTTTTCCTGCACATACAAGGTAAGCAGTTGCCTCATGCATTAGTATTAATATCTGCCCACAGCCACCTTATTGTGCAAGATGTTTATAAATGAAAGCACAAAAGGATTGTGGCAACTTGTGCATTCCCAGAACTATGTAAAGCAACTTCCACAATCAATGCAACATGGCACACAGCAGTTACCCTTCCATCTCACTTAGATTTTCATTTTGGATTACCAAGAGCAGGGTGGAAAAAAAAATGCCCTTCTTGAAAGGCAGCCAAAAGCCACGGTTTGCAAATTCCAGTTCATGTGCCGAGCTTCATCACAATTCCATAGGAATAACAATTTCATATGAGTAAGTTCTCAGCATAGAAATTTCTGCAATTGCTTAAAGGTGCATTTAAAGTCGTCTGTCTCCATACGGGTGCAGTGCTGTAGGAATTTTAAGGGTTATTTCAATATTAATGCACAGTTTGTGGTTAAGAGGACAGAAAAGAGATCCTCACCAAGCACCAGCCCCAAGACAGGCCACCACCCATGGGGTGACAGGTGACAGTCCCCTCTTGATCCCATTAAAATCATGTGCATTGAAGTTGCTGTGACCTTGAAATAAAGGGTGAAAGTCTGACTAGATGTCAAGACTTTGAGTTCCTGTGGCATATCAGCCTATGAAGATCTTGGAAATTATTGCTAGAAGGCTCTCTCTGTCAGGGTATGGTAAGATCCTTCCATCCTCATTCTGGTTTTTTTTTAGAAAGTTGTGTTCTCACATATTTTTTAACTCTTTTTTTTTTTTTTTTTTTTTTTTTTTTTTTTTTTTTTTTTTTTTTTTTTTTTTTTTTTTTTTTTTTTTTTTTTTTTTTTTTTTTTTTTTTTTTTTTTTTTTTTTTTTTTTTTTTTTAGCGTCTGTCACTCTCTGGCTTTTAAACAGCATTTGTTGCAAATCGGAATCGCCTCAAAACTGAAAAATCTCGCTTTGGGGATGATTGAAAAAATAATCAAAGTTCTTCATGGGAATAAGACGAAGTTTTTCAGACAGCTGCAGTTCCCACCTGTTTACAACATTTACAGAAAGAAACACACAGGCATTTTTTCCAGATGTGCCAAACTGATTTCTGCATTATTCAGTCCTTCTGTTCCCTCTTAGCATGCTGTCACTGTAAAATCTGAAGGGATAAGTATGAGGAGAAGGGAATATCTCACTCTGAGCTTACAGAACAGTCATTTTTCTGTGCAGACAGGAAAACCAGAGCCATGTCTCTCCCAGGAAAACAGACTTGTGCACTGAGCGCTGCAAACGAGGCAAAGGAACAGGGGCCGGTGCCTTTCCCCTTTCTGCTTGGGTCAGTCCCTCCCAGCAGGGCCAGAGCCAGCATTGCCCGTGGATTTCAAACAGTGAAAGCAAAAGGATGGGCTACAGACTAGATAAGGAAATACCTTCCAGGTGAAGTGACCCGGGTTCAATTTTAAAAAGCCATTAAAAGATAGCACACAAATATTCTTTTCTACAGTCAGGACTAGTTATTCCCTTGAATACTAAATCAGAGCTGTATATATTTTCAAAGACCAAGAAACCAACTCTCTTCCTCTGCCATAAAACTAAACAGTATTCTGTTTTCTGTTTCCAAGTAGGCTGCTAAATCACACACAGTATTTCTTATTTCTTTTACTTTTTTTTTTTTAGCTGCTCTACTCTTTTCTGTATAGCCATAAGAGCAGCCCAAGCTCAATTAAACAGGCAGCCAAACACTACACAGCCCTGACTCAGAAGAAGCACAATTAGTTTTGAAATCTTCTGTAGGATTGACAATTATCAGCATCTGATTTCTACAGCTGAGGTATCCCTGATTTTTCAAGAGCCATAATGCTTTAAGTCTAGTGGAACAGTTTCTTAATCTGGATTTTTTTGTGCTCAGGTGATAATATTAAAAGTCTATTAAGTCATAATGTGAAGCCAAACAGTGATAATTCCAACAAAACATCTAGAACCAAGGAAAGCCGGGGGGGGGGGGGGAACCAAAAAACAACCAGGAGTGAAATATTTGAAATATTTGAAATTCAGAAATGACAGAGAAAAGTTGTAGATCAGAGACAGTTTCTTAATAGTGAGCCACGTTGTGCCACAAGGCAGCCAAGTTCACGTGCACCATCATCTGTCAGCCTCAGCACTCTGAGATAGCTGAAAAAAATGTTCATGTCTATAGAGAGAAAAAGGGCAAGGGAAGATGTTTTCTGAAAACATTTTACATTTTGTCCTCAAACAGATGAAACAAAAGTGCTACATAAAAATCATAGCCTGACAAGAAGCCCCAGAAACAGAGCTAAGGGGCTGGGCCCTCCTTTCATTTCATTTGTTTCCAGATCCTTAACCCCTAATGTAAACCTGCAGGGACCATTATTTATCTTGAAGAAAACATGAAGGCTAAAATAATGCAAGCTGAGACTTCTACCTTTTCATTGTGTGGGGTGGGAAGAAGAGATGGATTAAAGTGCTTTCTGTAGATATCAATAGATAGTTTAAGAAGGTGGGAGGGCTGTGATTCCTTGGAATGATTCAAGTGGCAGGTTCATTCTCTTTAATGAAAGAAAGCTCCCAGTTTACACTGAAAAATGACAGAAATGTGGCCACACAGTGTTGGGTCTGGGCTATTCTGATTTATTTGATGCACCTGAAGTAGATATTTCCTTACAGAAGAGATAAGAAGCACTAGATAAAAGGACCAGGTGTATATGTGCAGTAGTAGGGGACTTTGCTGCTTAAGGGTGATCTTATCCCACAAATAAATGTTCATAATAAAAAGGACCCACATACCTTCATAGTTATCACATTAGATATTTCCCATCCTTCCTAATAAAATAATTATTAATAAGAATGAAACCGGCCTCTCAAACATTTGATCACTGCTTTCAGGAAAAGGGATCAAGGGGTGGTTCTCATTATTTTTTCAAACTTAGAAAAGTACATTTTAATGAGGCTGGTTTAAGCTTTACACCCCCTGTCCTTCCTCTGTCTGCCTTTTGCCATTCCCTCTCATGGTATTTCTGAGCTGAGGTCACAGATGCCTCAGCAATGTTAAAATACATTATGCATATAGGCCTCAAACATATGTGGGCTGCACTTGCAATAAGTTTAATTTTTAGGGCTGTAGGAATGCGGGATCACAGTACCTGGAATAGCTTTTTCAATAATCTTTCCACAGGAAAATGAAGTGAAAAACACCAGTCAGGAAAGATTCCAGCTTCAAACAATTTGCTTCTAGTGAAGAAGCTGGACATTGTTTGACTGGTGCTGGTACCCTTCCCTCTCCAGGGTAAGCAATTTCCAAAGAACTGAATCCACTGTTTTGTCTCCCAAGGCTTCATCAAACATCCTGGAGAAACACAGGTCCAACTGACAGCTAAATAGGACAGGATTGCACCCTTAGCCTTAGCACAAGATTATGTTCATCCCAGACCATCTCCAGCCTGAAGCACTTGCTCCTCCAGCCACTTCTAAGGCTGAAAGTTAATTTTCCTCTTGATATTCCTAAAATACGGTCTTTCATAAATGTAAAGAGAGGAGAGGGTCTGGTTTGGGTTCACACCCTCCCCTTGCAGTTCCTGCTGTGCCCAGGCCTTGATATAAATGATCTTTCCCTCTGCTCATTATGACGCTTCCTGCCAGGATCATTTTCCATGCCATTCACCTCTTTACTTTTCCCCTTGCCCGCTCCAGCTTCTCTGCTGTGTTAGATAAAAGTTATTTATCCTCCCTTTCAAGATTCTTTATAATTCGCTCCCTACTTATTACCTCTCACCCGGAGATGGACTTTCTTCTCTGGTTAGTGCACAGAGCAGCTTTCAGGCACCCACTGAGTACCTGTGAGATGCAGCTGAGCATTAATTCCCTGTCCTCTGCTTCTCCTCTGTGTCGTTGGCACAGGGGACTGGACAGATGGGAACACAGGAACGGGCAGGGGAGCCAGTGCTAAGGCAGTAAAACCCCTTGGATTGGACACAGTCTCTCGTCACAGGCCTGAGAAGTGATTTGCACAAAGTACCCCTCAGTCCTTCCAAGCTAAATAATAGAGGGAAATAAATAACAGGGAAACAAAGGAGAATAGTGGACATGGAATATATAAATATTCTCTGAATTGCACCTTGCTACAGGAAATGTTACCCCATGTTGGCCAAGAGGAGTCTCTGTGCCGCTTTCAGTGTGGTGTGGAAGAGGCCTCGAGGACACACACATTCGTTGGCTTTGGGAAGTTCTGAAAAATGACATTTTGCAGGGGTAAAAGACAAACCCAGATGTTTTCCTCCCTCAGTTTGCCAGGGGTGAGAAAGCAGAGCTCAAATGAACACATCTGGCACAGTGTACCAAACTAAGCCACTAATACAAAAGGTGGATCCTCCAACACCAGCCACAGGTGACAGGATAAGAAGCCCAGCACATCATGTATAAGATATAAATGGATCCATCTGTCAGCAGTTATTTTATGAGGGAACTGCTCCCAATTATGCCAGAAACAGCTTTTAATGAAACATGATTTGAAAGCACTACAGAGGGGAAGAAAATGTGCAAAGTAAATTCCTGATCCAGTGAAAATTGAGAAGAGTGATAGATTCTGCCATTATAATTGGCAAACAGAAGGGAGGGGTTTGATAGAGATGGCGGTAGAACAGCTTTTGGGGCCATATTTGGCTGGGATAGCAATCTTCTAATCATATGTCCAGCCTGTCTTCAGAGGTCATTTTCAAGGTACATTTTCAGATGAGAAATAGAGGTGTTATATGACAATTTCACTGATGGCTGCAAAGAAATGTTCATTACGTTGCCTTCTTGCCACAGGAGGGACCAGCCGTGTATCAAACGGGGGAACAGGTGTCAATGAAAAACTGGAGTTTAGGTATTCTGAATCTAAATCCTTCATACAGTCCACTTTCAGCCCTTTCTCTTATGACAGGAAGTCAATGAACCCATATTAAGTGGCAGGCAAATATTTTTTTTTTCTCCCCAATTTCTTCTGAGTTTTGGATTTTTGGTTGTTTGGTGTGGGTTTTTTTCATTATTTCGTATTTATTATCTCAATCATCACAAGAGCTGCTCTTCCCATAGCCTGGCTGCTGGAGGCACACCATTTATTTCTTTTGGCAAAGCAGTCACCAGTGTTCTAGCCTGAGAGACAGGACTTAATAATGCTGAATTTAAAGTTATTAGAAATACCATTGCTTTCACAAGTACACAAATATTGAATTACTACATCTATTGGAGATCGGCTGAATTACGAGTCGGGTTTCACGGACTGATTTATGCTGGAAATTCACATTTACAAATTATTTTCCCCAATAAACCAGGCTTAGGTATGACAGAGAAGTTATTGCTGTTACTGGTGAAATGTTTTCTACTTTGCTCTTTGTTCCTGGGAATGCTGTACACCCAACAATATATTTCCCTCATGAAATAGCTTGCCTGAAACATCTGCTGCCAGAAAGTTTGTCCGGAACTTGCAATGATGGATGAATTTTTGACAGGTAATTGCAATTCAGATCAAGATGCAGACAGATTTAGTACCTAGAAGCTCCCAGTTTATTAAAATCACCATTGATTTATTTGGGCACCCCCCTCTCTTTTCACCACCATTCAGAAATTAATCACTTGGGTATGGTGTTCAGGGCTCATCCAGCTGCTCGTAATATGAAATACATCAGTTTATCCCAACTTTATCTATCTCTCAGCACTTCTGGAGGACCTATCGCCACAGTGTCTAGTCACCACCAAACCCAACATCTACCATTAGTGTAAGCCTTTCATGAAGCTCCAAAGAAATTGTACAGTTTGTATTAGTCAGAAGGTTTAAAATCTTCAGACTTCTCTTCAGGCTTACTAAAGAAAATTAAGTGTCACCACTGCCTATCCCACCCATGAAAATTATGTTTATCCTTTCCTTAGTAGCTGAAAAGACTGGAAGGCTCCACTGGTTTGGTTCCCATCAGCACGGTGTTTTTCTTTTTGCAGCATATAGCAAATTCATTACTGAATAGACAAATGTCACTGAAATAATACATATCTATATTATATATCCACCTGGTGCTTTCTCCAGTTCTCAGTGAAGTTAGCAAAGGTTCACTGGAGATATTTCACTCAGCCCTGGCAGTTTCCAGACAGATTTCCATCAACCCTTTTGGAAATTCAGACACTGACTTTCTTTGCAACTCACATCTGTTCTGATAAACCATTAGTTATGCATGGAGAGCAGCCAGATGACCTCCAGCTATTTTTCTTATACCTTTCCCAGACTAAACAGAGCTAGGCAAGTGTGGGGCCTGCTTGGAGAAGAGCCACAGAAAGTTGAGGATGCTGGGGTAAAATGAGCATGGCAAATGCAGACACTTATAGCATTTCTACTTGATTTAACCCAGAATTGTCATTACAGTTATTCCAGAATAGCCACTGAAGTGAATCAAAGAGAAGAATGGCAGAAGGTAACAGGTGATGTGATTCCTTGGATATAAGCTAAAAATACACAACTCTCAGCACCTGATCAGAGATCCCAATATTCTCTCCTGCAGTGGGCACAAGCAGATGTCAAAGGACAAGTAAGACCAGACCATGGAACTCCTGTGAGTACTATTCCACCTGCCAGTTCTTTCCAGCCTAGAGGGATTTTCTCAGCCAGCTGTAATTTTGTGCATTTACTGTCAAAGGTAAGTACCATTTGGCTCATGTGGATATAAGTGCCTGCTCCAATTTGTTTGTCATTTAAAGTCTATTTTGGAGGCCGGTCTTGCCCTGAGCCATTGAATGTTTCTTTTATTATTCCATATGCCAGTAACTGTACTTAAAGAAGAAACCTAAAGGCATGTCTACTTTTGTGCAGATACCATAATCTTTTGCTGAAAACAACAATAAGGCTTGTTTTAATGAGCACTTAAACTGGTTTAGCTGTTTTGCTGAAGGGGATGGCCATTGCTTGTGTGTGCAACAATGAATTACAGAAACCTGTAGTTTCTATCATGGTCTAACAAGAACTGCTTTTCTTGCATAAAAAAGCACGTTTTAGGAGTTTTAAGGTCACTTTGTGCTTCTTCAGTCACAATAACTTTGCCAGATTCAGTTGGCTATGAATAATGCCCACCTCACGGGTAGAAGAACCGAGCTTAGACATTCCTTTTCAGTCTTACAGGGGTTTGTCACCTTTTCTCTCAGTGAGTGGGGACAAGATCTGGAGGGGTTTTCTCTATTCCCCATACACCTGTCTATGCCATTACAGGAGAGGGAAACACAGTTTTGGAAGATGTGATCCATCTCTGGTGAGTGGAAAAGGAGGGTAAGGAATAATGTTTTTACCAATATTCATTCTCTCTCCTTAATTACACAGGTCGCTGCAAAGAAATTATTCTTCTGCCAGAATTTTCCGAGTATGAATGCTCATCAATCTTTTAATGATTTTAGATAGAAGGTGTGGATTCTCTCTCTCTCTAGCTTATAAATAGTGGTTGAAATTTTTAGCAAGTCAATATTTTAAAGAAAAAGGACCCACAGTGTCTCTGACAAAGCTGATTATAGAATATCAGAATGAGGATACACCTCTATTAAAAACAGCTTTATATGGAGTGAAGATTTATAGTGGTGTTCTGCTGATTCATGAATACTAGATATGGAAATCCATTTCTGGCAGCCACTCAGTGATGAAATATGTAGCATATAATGCATTTGTCTGTAAGACAAATGTGTGCTTTGGCTGATTAAAGAAGATATACGAACTTGTGAAAAAAAAAAAAGGAGAGGGAATTATTCCCAGGAACAAACCAGTTAATTATAAAACCAACAGGGAACCAAATGTGTAAGTTGAATGACTATATAATTTTTTCTAAACAAGAAGGTTTCAATATTAATTCCCAATATATTTTATATGCAACTTCAATATCTAATGACCTGTATATACTATTGAATATTTGAAATATAGCCCTCTGCTGGTTCTAGGCCTGTTTTCAGACATGTGGCTCCTTGCACAGCAGGCACAGAAAAGTGGGTGAGGGTTTTTTGTTGATTTTTTTTTTGTTATCATAAGAATCTGTCAATCTAAGAAACAGTTTTTTGAGAAAAAACACTTCAGCCTCAAATATTCAACAAATGATAAAGGAAGCGTTTCAAAAATAGAAGTGCCTACATGTGTTGATAAGACAATATGTGAATGCTGATGAATAAATATAATCTGCTTGAGAAAGTTAAATTTCAGCTTGTCCTCACATGTAAGTTATTTGCATTCCTACAGATGTGTTGATTTTACATGCCTTATGGACAAGAAAATAGAAATGTTAAAAACCAGCTTTTCCCTATCTGTGGTTAGAAATAAATGACTCCGTTGTTCTGTCAGGTTCAGAGGCTTGAAGCAATTGATGCTGTTTGAATAAAAAAGATCAGGATCCAAATCACTGAGCTTATAATTTAAAATTTCTGTAGCAGCTTTGCAAAAATAAGAGCAAACTGTGTATCGGGTTCGGGCACAAAGCCCTGAAAGATGAGGGCTTTGAAATCTGGAGATTTCCCTGAAACTTAATGGTTCCAAACACATCCTGTTAAGATTCAGCTTTGCTAAAAGAAGAGATAGTAGGTCTATGTATGTCTTTTAATTCAAAAAGGAAGACTGTGTGATAGCTCAGAACTGACAATTTTTCACATTTCTTTCCCTGGTTTTGTTCTAGTGGGTTTAATGGAATGCACGACGTTCAAAGGATGTTATGCTTTTCATATTTCTTTTCTCCATTTTCTCTTCTATCCCATAAGAAAAAGAAAGAGAAAAAGATAAATGGCAAGCGAGAGAGGGAGTGTTTGTTGCTCTGTGGCATACAAAATAGAGAGGGGGGGTAAAGAAAGACACAAACCCAGAAAATTTCTAAATGTAATAAGGAACACGCTGAAAATAGATGTTACAAATGGCTGTGAAGCAGAAGCATCCATGATTATTTATAGTTTCTAGTTTTAACAACTCGTATTTAAAAGAGGACATGTCGTTTTCTCTGCATATCCATACCTTTTTTACCATGGTAGGAAGGGATAGAAAAATATGAGGTGCAAGCCAAAACTACAGAGCAGTAAAGCAGATGCACTGCATTATGTTTACTTTGAAGTGAAGAAGTGTGACATATTGCAGGAAAATTCCCAGTGGCAGCACTGGCAGTAGAGCCTGTGTGGACAAGGCCTTGTTTTTTAGGGGATTCAATGGACACTGACCACAAGGAGGTAAAGGGTGTGATTTTTTTTGCTATTCCTCTCCTATCAGGCTGCAGTGGATAATACTCCAGCCCTTAGACATGAACTTGGAGCCATCCTGGAAAGCTGAGTGAGGACCAGCTGCCTGGTGAGGCAGAACAATCTGGTGAATCTCCACTTCTCCCAAGGGCTGCACACAAATCCATAACGTGAATATCCCTGGTCATGGTACGTTCAGCATAAACAGCCATGAATTGAATTTATGTATTATTGTGACCTTTCTAATCTCCTGACATCACATTCTCCCCACTTTACTTGCTACCAGGCTCTTGTCTGACCCCTCCCTCAGCCACGGGCAGGGGTCACCCTTTGGGCTGCACTGCCCTTTGTAGCTGGAGATTACTTCCCCTTAATCTGATCCTCCATGCCCATTCTGTAAAGTTCATGTTCAACAATCCTTTTAAAATTTTAAAATCTGTTTTCTTTTAAAATCATGACAGACTGTTCTCCTGCACAGTTGTTTACTCATGACTTCATTCAAGTCTTGAATCCTTCCCTCTCTGGCTCTCAGGCATGAATGATCCTTAGGATCGAATCCACAGAGACATCTTTTAAAGTGACAGTTACTCCAGGAAGGACAGGAAAAGACAAGAAAAAGGAGAGAAAAGGACAGGACTAAAAAATTTGATTGCATGACTGTTCCTATGTCTGATACAAGAGGTCGCAGGAGTAGGGCCCAAATATACAAACCCAACAATTTCTCTCGTATTGAGAATTTTTGGGTCAGCAAGCTGGGACATTCTAATTGCACAAAACTGTGTTTGTTACACAAAATATTATAGGTCCTTCATTTAATAAATTTGTGCTATCTTAGCTCATGTACTCCAAGGACACTGTATCTTTTCCATGTCCCTTGTTGATGCCCTCTGGCTGACATGACCATTCAGCAGCAGCAGCAGTTCCCTAGGTCACAGTTATGGTCTCGGTCCAATAAAAACATTAAAGCTGTGCCAAGATCCTATAGAAACCTGGAATAAGGGTTAAGTGGCATGCTTCACTTTTTGCCTCTATGGGCCCTTGAATCCTACCACGCTACTGGAATCATCAACAAACCTTGCCCAGGTTGTACACACTCAGTCAGTAATTGCATCCTTTTCTCTTCTTCTTTAGCCTTCCAGTACTGGGATTGAAATATCCCGCCTAATTATTATCCTTCAGGATATCCTGCAGGAATCCCATCAGATAAAGAAATTGTTTCAACACCATAAAACATTAAACCGCCATCAAACATTAAAACAGTGCAAAAGATCTGAGCCCAGGGCAGAGGTAGAAAGAAAACTGTGCCTGTTATTCAGTGTTTTGGTTTCTCGACTCTGCTAAAGAATAAACAGATTTTCAGTAGCTGGAGGGAAGGAGATTGTGATGCCATAGCAAAGCTGAACTCATCATTTGTATGATTCTCTTTGCACAGATAATAAAAACAACTAAAATTATTAAATACCAAGTTGTAAGTCATTGAGAGAAGATGATAGGTTTACGTGCCATTCGAAATAGTCCTTGTAATCAGTGTGAATAGAATAGTCAATTTAAACAGATCCCTAAAAGACCCCAAACGTTTTGTCATTTACCAGAACTAACCTTAAGAAGGGATCTGCTGTAGGGGGGAGAGATGAGCTACAAACTTTTTTCACTTCTCTTCAAAACCTGACAGTGTATGGAATACAGCTTTAAAAATTAATGGGACTGATCCTATTTCAGTGCTCTCTCATTAAACAGTGCATAAATATAATAAAAAGATCCCACACCTTTGATAAAACACGGCATGCTTTGTGGTTCTTTTTACACATAATGTCAGAATTATTTGGAGAGCAGTAAAAATGGTTTCAAAGCTCTAGGCTGAAAATAAATCCATCTGATGTCCTTCTTTCAGAAGTTGTCCTTTCCTTGGACATTGTTAACGTTAATATTTTGAGCAGAATAGTTCATGCTGCTCTATCCAAAAGGACTAGAAAATGGAGGTTTAGTCAAATATTTGACCATATTTTTTTACCAAATATAAAAATAGCCAAATATATTAAATGTAAACACCAATGTCCAAGTTATTTTAGGCAGGAAAAGGGCATAAGGTCTCCTTACTGTGTAACACAGACCAGTTAAACAAATCTTTATTCTTTACAGTTTGAGGCATTTAACTAAAAGGGGTTATTCTCTTAAAACATATCTGTATTTAATATGAACTGATGAGATTTTTTTGACGACAATACAAACAGAAAAAAAAATACCCTTCCAATTAAATCTTCAGAGATAGAATTAAACCCAGTAAAATGGCTTTCCTACCTCACCAGTGGACTTTGGCTCTAAGTCTCAAATGGGAAAAATTTAAGAATAGGTTTAAGTTAAATTCTTCGTATGACAAGGAAGAAAACCTAACCAAGGATTGCAATTAACGTTTTTATGCCTATAATTCTATTTTGCACATGACTTCCCTCACAGCTCTTACTTTATTGGGAAGTGCATTTTTCCCAAGCAGAAATAAATAATGTAACAAGTATTCTTACTGAGAAGATGGTTTGATGTCTGTTGAGAAGTCTGGGCTATAATTTACAGAAAATAGGTTACCTAATAAAAACTCATTACAAAAGCAACAGCACTGGAAAGGAGGAGGATGGGCCATTTCTCACAAGGAAGTGATGCATTGCTGATCCTAATGATGTTTAAAAAATCAATACTTTTCTTATTTTTGCCTTTCCTAGGCTGATAGATTAATATCGCTGTTTTTTCTTCCTCCTGTGCTTCCACTTCACAGCTGATACTGAAGTACACTCCGTTAAAGACCAGTATATTTGCATTTTAAGACTCCCTACAGAGGGCATTGCCTGTGTTTCATGAGCCACCAGCCAGGGGAATAAGTAAAAATAGGCAACTATGAAAGGGCATTTGTAGGAAGAACAAATAGAACCCAAGAGGTTAATATGGTTGAATGTACAATTTAATAAAAAAAAAAAACAAAACACAAAAAACCTCAAAACCGCAACAAAACCCAGGTAGATTTACTGCAATTGGAAAGGTTAGAAATATTAGAAAAATTACATTAAAGGCTAATAGAATATATGATGTCATTTTAGGTGCCTCCTGCAGCTTGTCCTGTAAAATACACCAACATCTTAGATGTGGAAGGTCAAGAGAGAAAAAAAAAAAAAAAACAACAGCTACATCTCCTGTTTATTTTCCTCTCTCATTGTTTTCTGTTTTCTCTGCAGTGACCTGATGAGAGATCATTAGTCTGAAAACTGAACTTGAACTTCAGAACTGGGGCTGCAACGGGAAAGAATCACAGGAGAAGCCGCTTGGGTTTTGAGTCTGCACTTTCACCAAAGCCAGAGCAAAGTTTTAGAGTCATGGAAAATTAGAAAGAAAAGAGCACAAGATCATGACTGGAAAATAAGCACTTCCTTCTCACCATAAACTTGTTCACCAGGCAAGTATTTCTCCTCTAATAAAAATCAATACATGCTAAATCTGCAGTGAGTGCAGTTAAACATCACATATTACCATTGATGCACCACCCCCCACTCAGCAAGGTCACTGAACCCAAACTTCAGTGTTTCACATTAATGTAATTTAAATAAGCAATAAACAGCATATGGTAATGCTAAAACAAGGAAATGAGTCACTATGTAAGAAATTATTCCTTTTTTAAACAGAGGGAAGATTAAGCACATCTTTAGTAGTAGAATCATGGGAATAACTTCACCAAACAGAAATATTCCTGGCACAGCCCCAATATTTCCTGTTCCAATTAACTATGACAAACCATTACAGAAGATGTGCAGCAAGTCTCTTACCTAAGCAGGGGTTTAGGACAGGACCAAGAGGTGACTTTTTTCCCTTATGCTTCTTTTCACTTTGAGAAGAGGTGCTGCAGCTACTAAAATGATGAAGAAAAAAACCTAAAGGGCAAAATGCCCCGAGCTTGTGAATTACAGAGAATTACACTGACTTTTCAAGTAGTTAGAGAATGATAAAAGAGAAAGATTTTCATATAGAGGGAACTGAAAATAGAAAAAAACCTATTCATCATCATTAGTAACTATTTTTACAGTGGTTTAGGGGGGGCAGGGAAGGAGAGAGAAGTCCCAACAGAGAGGTGTTCATGAAGGAGGAGAACTATCAGCTCCAGACCTACTGAAATATTTGAGGTGAAGCCAGTATTGCTTCCCTCTCTTAAGTCATTCCACCCCCACTGTAAGTTTTAGTTATCTTTTCTTTTCTCCTGTCACAGTACAATATGTCAGCATAACCTGGCTTTGATAATGCAAAGAGCACATCATGTACATGTGTTGTACAGTCCTTATTTCTTCAGATTTTCTTTCATTTATGCTTTGTAAAACAGCCACATGTTGCTTCCACGTATTTTCTTTTATCCTGACAACCCTTGATTAAAGACAATTCAAACTTCTCTGGGTTGGCCAACAAACTATTCTCCCTCATCATTTAACATAGATTCTGTTCCAGAGTAATGGGGTAGGGAATTTATGAGAGTCTCCTGGATGTTATTCTTCATCTCTTTTTCCTAGATTTTTAAACAAACTGCTAGCTATACCATCAAAACATTTGAGAAATGACCAGGTACTTAAAAAATGCCAAATCCTGATCTAGTTATAATCGGTATAATCCCACAGAAGTATTCCCAAAGCTTTCATAACAATGCCTGAGTTCAAGGTGGAAAGACTTAAGCGAAATCCACTGTCTTCCAACGCTAAAACCTACACTATTTGATAAATAGGGATTTAGTTCAAATTAAACAGATGATTAAAAAAGCAAAAGCTCAGAGAATAATCAGCACTAATTATACTGATGTTGCTAGTGTAATTAATCAGTTTTGCAACCTGCAAAATTGAGATAAAGAGCTGGAAGATGTAGAGATGAAAACTCACTATGTAGAGACTCTGGATTGTTGTTACCCAAAATAACACACTAACACTAATTGTTCTTGGGGGTGGGTTGTCTTTTGCCTCCTTTCTCCTGACTGCTTAAGGGAGGAACCTGCTCTGGCTTCAATGCTCCTCGGCCCATGGAGCTGAGGCCACTTAAAATATCTGCAGTGACCTAAAAAGGACGAATAATATTAACCTAATCCAGGCATTCACACCCATATCTATGCACTCAAAGAACTTAGATCAAAGACTGTTGTTGTTTATGGAGCTATTTTTCAAAAGCATATAAAGCTCTCTTGGTAAAATGAACTATAAAAATAATTTTACAGTGACATGAAAGCTATAAATCATAAGGACAGAAATTCATGGATGTACCTTTATCTAACGTGCTGTCCTTGAGTCCTCCTGTTAAGCACTGCATACAAGAATACCCTCAAATAATCTGTGATTTTACATATTAGATCTAAAGTGGTGTTTGTCATAATGAATGAGTAAATAATGTTCATCTCAATTGTGTTTCAGCATTAGTTTTATGTTGTCTTGGCCCTGTAGGTTCAAGAAGTAACCTTAGCGCTACTTCAAAGTAGTTTTTTTGTGATTTAATTTTATATTTATGTCTTTACTCAGCTGCGAGAGATTTTTCCAATAAATAAAGAGAGGGGCTATGAATCTTCCCTCCCAGCTGTAAATTCTCGCAGCAGGCTACAATTTTAGTGATGCAAAAGGCTGGCGCTCGTCAGCTCTTTCACGATATATATATCAATGTCCCCCTGAAGACCCCGGTGGAAATATGGCTCCAATTTTTTTCTTAAAAACATGGATCAATCATTGTTGCCCTTGCCTATTCTTTTCTGTCAAATGTTCCAAATGTGCTGGAGTATCTGTAAAAAGTTTGAGAAGCACTTTGGCCACACGTCTTACAACGCTGTTGTACAATGCAACTTCGGTGCAGCTCTTGCTTTGCCGGAGATACACAAGGAGCTGGTCCCCACTTAGAGATGAACACAATTAACAGCAATCTAACACATTCACCAGACTTCATCAAGCAGTAGAAGGGCCTTTCTTGCCTGCAGAAGACCCTGAGATCAGGATCTAACAGTTCTCTGGGCCACTGGGCTCTAGGTTACATATTCCATACCCCTGGAAGAAAGCACTGAATGTCCTACCAGTAGATACAGGGCAGAGAAAGACTGTAGGCTTACATGATAAATTAGCTTTCCAATTTGCTAAAATTTAAACATTTGAGGTAAATTAATAAATCAGAATTAAATTAATTAGAAAACTAATTTAGTAAAATTTAGAAAGTAAAAGTTCCTGGTTTACTGCACTGGCTAGAGATTTTTGTTCTGTGCTAAGTAAATTTATTCAGTTTTTTGTTATATAAGAAGCCCTTACTAAAAAACAAACAAACAAACAAAAAAAACCCAAACAAACAACAATTTCAGACCAAGGAGATTACTGGAAAGACAGAAGAAATAAAACTTTATGATTTAACGTGGTATTTGGGTCTTGTCCACTAGTAATGAAGGAGAGCCAACAACTTTTCTGATGTCTAAGGCTCTTATTGTAGTTAAGCTCTTGCAGTTGGATTAAGGCCTTTAAAATTCCTGTTTTTGACTCACTGGAAGGAAATTGCAAAGAAGAGAAAGGCAGGAGGATTGAGCTTCCCCTCCTGTGAAGGTTGCTACTCAAGCTTTTTTGCCAGTGACACACTCACATCCACCCAAAATTTAACGTGTGGAAGTGGCTTTGATCCTTTCCTCTCTAATGATCTGCTCAGTCAGACCCTTGTCATGAAAATGTGATACCACCATCTTGTTAATGATCACATTCTGGAAGAGCTTGCTTTGAATGAAAGCATCAAAGACCTTCCTTAATCTACTTTATGGGAAAGTCTCTATTTTATGGCCATATACACTAAAAAAACCCCAAACCTCACAATATTTGGAATTACAGTATTGCATAGCTGAATCCAGCCCAGTACAACCCACCAGTGGCTGCCTGGGCAACCTCAAAGATCCCACAAACTGACAAAACCTATCTGCAAAACACTATTATCAATATTGCCCTTTTCTCCAGAAAACCCTAGGCTGAAGGAAGGGACTCTGTATGAAACTCAAGCTAATAAATAGCACAGCTAACAAAGAGAGGACACACTGCTTCTTACAAATAAGAAATTACTATGGCTTCTTAAATGAGTTGTCTAAGATACACTACAGTGAAGCAATTCTTGTAAGAAAGATTTTAATCCTCAAAAGTAATTTGTTTAAGCAGCCTTGTGATGCACAAAAACAACAACAACAACAACAAAAATAAAAAATAAGGAAAACCCCATTCAGATCCCTGACAAAGAGCACCACCAGGGCTGCTGACAAGGCTGTAACACACCTGAGTTCAAGGGGGTAGGGGCTGGTTCCAGAATTCAACAGGAGAAGCCAGGACTGTGGCTCAGCAGGAGCACAGGAGCTGTTACCCATCAGACCCTGCAGAAACTCCCCTTTCCCATTTTTTCCCAGGCTCCTGCCACATTCAAGAATCTCCTCCAAGCACCATGAAAGAATTGTGACTTTTCTTGGGCAACATGGCACGGTATTGCAGTCACTCACCTTCCTTGTGGGCACTCTCATCCTGGCTTCTGAGTGTGGTCCTCCTGCATCCTTGTCCCTGCAGCGACACGAGTGTTTCAGGCACCCTCATCACTCCTCCTGGTGCAGTGGCAGAGGGATACAATGATTTTAAACGTCCTAAAATTCCAGAAGCACTGTGCAGAAGGCAAATACAAGTTCCACATCACCTGGAGCCTCGCAGGGTTTTCCACACACCAGCAGAGGTGAATGTCTGGAACAGAAAGGCAAAACTTTTGGTACCTTGCCTGGTCTGAGCCAGCCTCACACAGTCCAAGCTGCCTCAATTCATGCTGAAGAGACAGATGCCAAAACCTGCCGCAGGTGCTTGGCATTTTTAACGTCAAAACATGCCACAGGTGGCTGTGCTCCTTGGCATATGGGGCAGCAAAGTGCCCTGTCTGCAGCTGTGCATGGACAGCAGGGACACTTGGCTGGCCAGACAGATTTCGCTTTCATACCCCGTGCTGCAGCTTGGGCTGATGGGATCCTTGCTGCAATAAAAATGGAGTAAAAGGAGTAAAATTGTGGGGAAGAATCAGAAAGGTTTTTAGTGGACCCTTACACAACTTTTTTTTTAACTCATCGTGCATCTAAAAATGCTAATATTGCATTGGTTATGTGTAGAAGAACTTGAAAAATATAACACAAGCATAGGAGTCCTCAGAATTCCAGTTCAGGGCTGATCTTCTTTTCCCCTTCAATTGTCTGATTTTATCAGTTACCCACAGCTCACAGCATGAAGGGTACAAATCCCCAGTGCCCATGCATTCCTAGGCAGCTTCCAAGGGCTTGTGGACCTTATTTCAGTTTCTAGGAAACATTATTTCCCGCTAACAAGACAGGATTCAAGTCCAAAGACTTAAGGGGGCTGTAGTACAACACACTTGTAAATAATGTTTTAGATTACTTTGGAAGAAAAACATGGCTTCAGTGCCAAAGGAAGCCAGAGAAGCATTTCTGGGATGTTCTAACTCTTATGAGACACCTCAGTGTTTTGTAGCTATAGTTTAAGTCAGTTCTGCCCTAAAGTAGTGGGACACACAGAGAG